GTATGTTTTATTCCACTTGAGGAATGGTGCAAGTTCTACACAGAGAAACAGCCTTTCCCTTGTATAATCTGCGTTTCTACCAGGAGCATTTGTTGATACATATTTACCCAAAAATGCTTTGCGATGCAATTGGCTGATACATATTTACCCAAAAATGCTTTGCGACGCAATTGGCTTTTTTCTTTTTGTTTTTTTATTGTTAATGTCCTTTTCAGGGGCAGCGAGTAGGACCAGACTGCTTCCGATGGGGGCTGCGCTGCGTGCTTCTACAGCAGGCCTGTATTCGAAATCTTTGCAGGTGTCACGGTGTTGATCAGTGGAATGAGTTTGGTGAGAGCAGTTTATCTATCTCTAAATGCTTTTTTTGAACTAGTCTAGGTTATCTGGCAAAGCCACTCTCTTACTGCAGGCAGCTGCAGACACATTAGAAAGTGTCTCCTGATGGGACTTTTCCAGCAATTCACTCCAAAAGGGACAGTAGGTGACTAGCCACCATCGTTCAACGACCAGCAGTTGGTGATGGTTCGGCTCAGGGTTGCGCACGCAGTATAAGGGCTGTGCTTAATGACTTGCTTTGTCTTACAAATTAGTGAAATAAACTTTGGAACTGGAATAGAAAATGAATGTTCCTCATTACGATGCAGAGCTTTTGATCTGTGTCGTCCTGCTCTGTCCCTGTTCTCCCCCTGAAACAAACAAACGCCATGCTGTTCGTGCCCATGCTACGTGCTGGCCAAGTCCCTGTTAACAACCTCTTAATTTGAGGGGTCCCACATTAGTACAAATCACTGGGAAGAGCAAAAACTGCCACGTTGCCATTTTACTCAGATTAACATGAGAATCAGGAAGCAAATGCGTCCAAGGAATGTAGATCCTGGTGGAAATGCGCAGAGCGGGAGGAGAAGCAATGGGGAATTAGGGGACTGTCTCGAACGGCCTCCTCTACCTTCAGCTGGTGGTCGCAACTGCTGTTGGGTCTGTTGGAGTTATTCAGCGACTCTTCCGCTGAACCTTGGTTTTGTGACGAAGCCGAAATCTCATAAAGACCCCTTTGCAGTGCGGGAGCGGCGTTTCCTGGGGCTTTTGTAGAACAGGCGTTTCTCTGCGGCACTCACAAGGGAATGGAGGCGGCCAAAAATCTATTTGAGCCTGACCGTGACTGCACTGCCTCATGCTGCTCGAACAGCCGCATCCCAGGAGGACAAAGTCTGTCCCTTTGTATAGAAACGCGGCTTGAAGCTTGTTTGCAAACCTCTTCAGTGCAGGTTTTTGAGCTGATATTCCTCAGAACAAAACGTGCTGAGGAATGGACGAACCGAGTTATCTTTAGAAAGGCGGACTGAGCCAGGGTCAAACATTAGCTTTGCTGATCTCTGATGCTGCTAAACTAAAATCCGAGCCAGTTTTATTTGCGTAGGTGCTCCACTGAACGCACAGCCTTCACAGGCTGTGGATGATGCTGCTTGTGCTGCCTACAGATCTAAAAAAATTATCTTGATTTTGATTTGGAATATCAGTACTGTGTGCTTCAAAGAAGTGACCAAGGTGATTATCTCCGTTTTACAGCAGGAAAACTGAGACGGGGCAAGCGGGCAGACTCGTAACCAAGGCAAAATACAGCCCCGAGCTCCCTGATCCCGCTCCTGTGCCTTATCCACACCCTCCATCTCCAGCCTTCTGCAGCTGCCAGCCTTCCCCCACCACGTAAGCGATCTCCACAGGGCAGGAGCGGAGCCCAGAGGGGATGGAGTTTTTTGTTTTTATCCTCTCCTGCCATCAGCTTTGACGGCGCGGAAGGCAGCTCTCAGCTGGGCCAGAGGTTCAAAAGGCTGTTTGCCCAGCCCGTGGCGCGTGTGCTGCCGCAGAGCCCCTGCCTCGGGCCAGCGCACTGACGGGAGCTGCAGTCCTCTTCTCGGCTCTGTCGCTTGTGAAAGCGTCCTGGCTAAACTTCACAGCTCTCACTCATTCACGTGAAAATCCTACCGCAGTCAGCCAGATCTGGGCTTGACACAGTGAAATTAAGGAGAATCAATCAAGCTGAGGGATTCATAAAACAGTCCTAGCCTTAGTTTCTGCCAAGAAAACACTCCCATGATTGTCCTGCAGCGTCCCTTCCAGAGTGTAAATGGCAACATAGGAAACCAAGACCCAGAAAGGCCGACGGACTGGTTTTACTTCAAACTAAAGGCAATATATATCCTTGTAAGATTACAGCAGTACATTCTCAATACCTCTCAGTATTTGAATATATATCCTTGTAAGATTACAGCAGTGCATTCTCAATACCTCTCAGTATTTGCACCTGAAGTCGTACAGCACTGGCTATGCTAATCACAGCCTGCCTAAATACTATCTTTTCCTTAATCTGCTCAACAAGGAGGAGGAATGAGCTGAGTCACCGCACAAACTTTTGTTGGCAGAGCCTGGCCCACCCCACCCACAGCACCCGACCTTGCGAGCTCCCCACCTTGGTGTTGCAACCTTCCTACCAAGCCTCCGAGCACCTCCCTGGGGAATGCTGTAAGGGCGAGAGCTCTCTTGTTCTTGCTGGGTACTTTTCTACCGCACTAGCTCATTGCTGTGATGCCTCCGAGGAAGGAGTACTGCAGAATTTCCTTGATGATACATGTTGCAATGAAGTCTTATCTCAGCCGTGACTTCTTGCTTTTCCTTTGGCACAACAATACAGGAGCAACAAAACCTTCTCCCTACCTTCCTTATGGTGAAGTCATAACCACGCTTTACAGGTTGGTAGGTTGTTGGTTTTTTTTTTTTTAAACAGAAGACACTCCATCCCTGAACCTTGCCTCTGACTCAAGTAGGTTTTACTCAGAATTAGGACTAAAAAATCAGCTATGTGATTTGAACAAGTATCAAGCATATATCCATAACTAAAGAACAAACTTCCCAATAAGATGGAGTCAAACTGGAGAGTGTTTCCAATTCACACAGAAACGGAACGCTTTTACCAGGCAGCGTCAGTCCTGCCAGTGCCTCAGATGCAACACGAACGCACACGCATGCTTCTGTGGTTTCAGGAAATACAGAAAAAAAAAAGTGTTTAATGTTGGTAAACTTGGAAAGGCTTTTTAAAACAGAGCGACAGACTTTTTTTTTTTCCTGGAACTCTGCGAGCTGACACAGTGCAGCACGAATCAAGGTTTTAAATGACACAATGTCAATGGTCACACCAACAGCTATGGAGCAAATAGGTTTTTATTTTTTTTTAAACCCTACTCCAGATATAGAAGTCATGAGGTGCTTGATCATTAACGTTTGCTTAACAACTTAATTAGTTCAATACGGAAGCAGACTGGTGCAGAATAATCCAGTCACTTCCGAGAGCAGGTGGATCAGAGACCCCTCTGCAATCGCCCATTACGCTCACAACAAATGTCACCAACTCCAGGGACTTCAGGGAGAATGTTTTAAAGTAAAAGAGGGCAGTGCCTCCACCTGCAGCATTCCTTGCGTTTGGGAGAAGCCAGTTACAGCCAATTAGAAGTACTAGGCTTAATTCAAGGCTGAAAAAAAAACATTCCTGAAGTCACTGACTTGGAAAGAAAGGCAAAGCATGCAAACAAGTGGTTTTGTTTTACAGAAACTGAAACACCTGACGGGGCTGAAAAGCAGAGCAAGCGCAGCATTGCCATCACCTTCGTCACCTCTGAATTATACAGGTTTTTTAGTTATGTTTTTAGAGAAAATGTGATGGTTTAGCAGACTGGCCCCAGGAGTCGGACAGTTTCTGTTCTTAGCTCCACCTCTTCACATTAACTTTAACCAAACAGTAATTAAAAAAATAATAATCATCTCACTGCGAGTGTATTACTTAACCTGCAGTTAGCATGCTTTTTGGAGCTATGTGTAGTTCTATATATAGAACAATTATGTTTATAATATAAAAGAAGAAGAGTTAGTTTTAGGTCAATGATTCATGCTGTCAAGATAAACATTGCTTTAAGAGGTCATGCAGACATTCTATCATGAAACACCCAACATAACGCCCAATTTTTATATTTATTTATTGTAAATAGGTCAAAATCAAAGGCCAAGTTTTAAATAAAGAGAATTGGATATAGGAGCCTAGCTTTGTTTCCAGTTGGCTACTCAGAAACTCTGCAGGATCTGATTCACAGTTTTTCAGTTCTGTTTTTCACTATCAAATATCAACAAGGTTTTTATTCAGATTAAGTGACTGAACTATAGTCAAGTTTAAATGTTCACAGTATCATCAAGACGTGGTTAGTACCACCTGGTTAAGAAGCCTTTCAGGAAGAGAAACAAAATTTAAAATGTTAACCTAGCTTTCAAACTGAGGTAGACAGTCACGGTGACTTGAGTGCTGAGGGTTGGGATATTTTTACTTTTTTAAGCCTGTTCATCTAATAAAATGCTTTAGGCAACAATTGAGATTGTTATGTTAGTATTTCTGATAGCGAGAAACTTTATTTTGAAAAAGTAGACCTTTTTTTTTTAAATAGAAATATTCCTCTTCTGTTACCAAAATAATCAGAAACATCATAGAAAACTATGCATCTTTCCTCTAATAATTTAAGCCTGCTATATAACAAGCCATGTTAAAGTAGCCAGCTACCAGCTTGCTGTTCACAGTGTAGAATATGCAATTCTTTACCTTACTTTTGCTCTCCAGCCGAGGAACACAGATCAAGAAGGCTGTACCTTAAGCATTTTAACCTGTCTACACACACAGAGGCTGTTTTAGTTTTTCAACCATTAAGTATAAAGTTTGCGATCTCCACCGATACATCAGCAAGATGGTACATACAGTGTTCATGACGCTCCCTGGGCAGCTCCCTTTCCACAGGCATCTGTGAGGTGGGTTTCATCCAGCGGCCTTTGGAGCCAGACCCTATCACCGATTTAGTTAAACATCCAGAAAGACAGACACGCAGAGAAGAAATCCAAGCTGCTTCTGCGAGAGAAAATCGAGACGCCAGTCACGTTATTAAACAGTTTTGACCCCGAAAAGGCAGAGGCTAGTGGCCAAAGAACAGCTCAGAAACAGGTCTGCGTTTCACGACAACCTCCTCTTCCTCCTCCTCCGCTACCTCGGAGAGGGAGGAATACGAAGGGAAGCCCCCTCTGGTCTTTGGCTTCCTCCTCGGGCCCGTAGTGGCAGCCAGGAGCTTGTTTAAGGACGAGGGCTTCCTTAAACCCTTGGTGAGATCGTAGAAAGCCATGTCATCGGATATGACCCCGAGGAAAGTGCTAGTGGAGCTCAAGATTGAAGCTGCAAGCTTTGTGGTCTTCTTGATGGGCACGGAGGGCTCCACGTTGTGGGGAAGGCTGGGGTCCCCCAGCAAGCGCCTGACTGCAGAGGAGGCCCCTTCCTTTAAGTACTGGTGCGGCTTCTTCCCGCTGTAGTCCCTCAGGTCGGTCTTGGCGTGGTAACCGTAGACGAGCATGGTGATGATCTTCTCCTGGCCGTGTATGGCGGCCAGGTGGAGCGCCGTGTAGCCGCCGTGTGACCTGGCGTCCACGTTGATGCGGGCCCCCCCCTTCTCAGCTGCTCTGATGATATTTGTCACCATGTCGCAGTTGCCGCTCTTGGCGGCCCAGTGCAGGGCGGTGAAGCCCGAGATGAAGTCTCTCCGGGCCGCCAAGCTGGCGTCGCCCAGCAGCAGCCCGTGGAGCTGCTGGGTCCACTGCCCACCGGCCGCCATCACCAGCCACTGGTGCTCGGCCTC